AGTCTGTCTTTCATGTGAATCTACATTGAGTATGATTCGTCCTGGTGGTTTAACAGATGTCCTCGTTCTCCACAGATCTGGCGCTCCCAGAATATTGAAGCAGGGATATTGGTTATGTGATTACCTGGTTTACTATACTAGTGTTGTTCTACAGCCTACACAATTCCCAATTGGTAGTGTTACACATACGCTCACACAGACCAGACAGGAGAGGATAGATCAAATAGCACCCTCAAGGCAAAAATAGGCTCATCGAGCTGCTTGGCGCATATAGAAAGATTGTAGCTTTACTTTGCGTGCCACTAGGTCAGGCGAGTTTAACTACACATTACATATCTTTAAACCTGGATACAAACCCGCGCTGTAGTACAAGACATGGTTCAACAGATGCTGGAACAAGAAGTTATCACACATTCAAAGACCCCTTGCAATAGCCCATTGGTTTTAGTCCCTAAGAAGGATGGTGATTGGTATCGAGTCATTGGTTTTCGGTGAGTCAACGAAGAAACTATCCCGGATAGGCACCCAATACCTGTTCCGGGCAATATATTGTAATTTTTTAGCAAAGATATTGCTGTGTTTAGTAACCTTGATCTGAGCAAATATTGACAAATTCCCCTTGACGGGAAATCTCGTGAGATTACTGCTTTTAGTACTCCTTTGGGCCATTTTAAATTGCTACGTATGCCTTTCGGTCCTCGAAATGCCCCAATGACTTTTCAAAGGATGATCAACACTTTGTTTGGGGGGTTTAATCGGCAACACAGTGTATGCCTATTTATATGATCCCATCATAGTCAGTAAGGATGTAGATAGTCATCTTGCTAAACTCCACGAAATTTTCCTGAAAATTTTACAGCGGGACTTAAAGTTAAACTTCCTAAATGTGAATTTTTAAAATCAAGAATACAATAATCCTTGGTCATGTAGTTGACAGAGACGGCATTCATACAGTTGACGGCAAGGTCAAAACCGCTACACAATTTCCACATCCACGTCCACGACCACATCCACGTCCACGGCCACGTCCACGTCCAAGTCCACGTCGTTTTTTTGGTTTATCTGGATATTATCGTTCTTTTACTCAAGAAGGGTGCGACTTTTGTCTGCAATGATGAACAAGTGGCTAGTTTTATTGCATTAAAGACGGAACTTACCAATGCACCTTTTTTAGCATTTCCTGACAACACTTTGTGTACTGACGCTTCAGGACAGGGGCTAGGAACTGTACTCATGCAGCTGAACACACCCCGACGCTTTGACAAGACACTTAGCTCCAGTGACTTCTGTATCTTCGTTCACTCTCACAATTACGGGATAAGCAACGATTTGATCCCCTGTGGTCTACAGTTATTTTCGCTCTAGAGTCGGGGGAGGAGGCTAATCTCCCGAAGTTACCTCTTCCGTTCAGTCAACTTGAACCACGGTAAGACATACTCATCCGCTGCAGACCGAATGCACAGGAAACTGTCACTCAAATTATTGTACATGATACTCTACGAATGGGGGATGGCCCAATTCAGCGCCGCCAATTCAGCGCCGCCGCTTCAGCGCCAGCCCATTTCAGCGCCGAGACCTTTCAGCGCCTGTGCGTTCCGTTCAACTCAGAAGCTATCTGTCTTTTATTAACGTGGTATAACACTGTATACTACACTTGATTTATATTATGTTGTATTCAACTTATTAATAGGTTAGGTTAGGTTAGGTTAGGTTAGGTTAGGTTAGGTTAGGTTAGGTTAGGTTAGGTTAGGTTAGGTTAGGTTAGGTTATTGATTTGGTGGCGCTGAAACGGTGGCGCTGAAACGGTGGCGCTGAATAGTCTGGCGCTGAAATGGGCTGGCGCTGAAACGGCGGTGCTGAAACATCGGCGTTGGAATGGCGGCGCTGAATCGCACCCTACCCCTACGAATGGTGGTACTAACTCTGTACCACAATGTACTTTAAGCAGGCCATCCCGGGCGTGACAAATGCTGAGCGGAAATTAGAAAATTTTTCTATTGGGATACAATGAAAAAAGACATCGAGCAGCACATTGCTAAATGCTTAACGTGTGCTCCTCACAAGGGTACTACATTTCAACCCGCTCCAATGCTGGAATACCTTACACCTGAACGTCCGTTTGACACAGTTGCCATTGACTTGTTACAACTTCCGACGGGTCACCAACGATCCTCATACGTATTGGGGAGTGTTGAACATTTCTCTAGATTTGTGATTTTAGTCTCACTGCAGGATAAATCAGCCGGATCTGTGGCGCACATCCTAGTCATGCACCTCATATGCTCTTTTACTACACCCAAGGTTCTTCTCTCCGACAACGGATTAGAGTTCAAGAATCAACTTTTAGCACGAATTTACCAGTAATATGGTATCCAACAAAGCTTCATTACAGCTTATCACCCACCCACAGGTGAATGGTATTGGTGAAAAAAACAATAGCAAAATTCTTGAAATTCTTAGACACATTGTGAATCCAATGTACATGGGTCGATCAATAACTGCATGGGCCAATCACACTACTTTTGTTTGTGGCACAGACGAATGTTTGCCTTATGACGTACTTACAAGAACTCCTCAACCCGTATAAAACACGGATGATTACGTTAACAAGCAAATTAACGTTTTTCAAAGATCCACCGTAAAGTACGGACACATTTAGCAACGTCACGCGCTGAAATGATTTATCAGCAACACAAACAGGCGACGCTGTCATGGTAGGAGAACCTGAACGAATCTCCAAACTTTTGCCCAAATTTTCAGGCTCATTCCTGATTACCGCTAAGGAAATAGGCAAAAAATTTTAAATTCTGAAACCTAACACAGAAACAGCAGAGTAGTACATGCGGACAGACTTAAATGGGTACACCCAGAGTTACAACCCAGGGTTGTCAATGATATCTCAGATACATCTGCTCAACAGCAAACACATCAAGTACACCAACTGTATCTAATGATTATCGTTTAAAACTATGTTCTGCAAACCGATTGTAAGATTTTTATTTCAATTTTTATATAACAAGCTCACTGCAGAAAATTTATACCAATGACAAGCTCATTGTGGAAAAGATATACCAATGACATGCTCGTTGCAGAAATGTATACCAATGACAAGCTCATCTAGGAAAAGAAATACCAATGACATGCTTATTGAGGAAAAATGATACCAGTGACAAGCTCATTGCAGCAAAGTGATACTAATGTGTTTCTCCTATTCATATCTTATACCAATGACAAGCACATTGCAGATTTATTAACACAAGTCTTAGATGTTTGCTTATACACTCATGATTAATTTTAACCCCTAATTTTCAAAACACGAATGGTTGTATTTTTTCTCGCTTGTCCCAGAATCAATGCTACCACATACTTTTACTTTTATTCACAGTGCATTGTTCCCACTGCATGACAAATGCAACCTTTCCCAATCCATGCAATGACACACTTGTGGCCCTGGAAAAACAAAATGAACATTAGTAGTGCCTGATTACTTCTCTTCTTTTTTAGCAGTGGATGATTCTAAGTGATGTCATTGTGTAAATCGGCTTATCTATATTTGTATGTATGTCCAGCCTAGCATTCTCGTTTATTCCTGCTGCAGAAGGAATATGTGAACTGGCACCCATACAAACGAGTGCTCACACAGCACTTACACAATGTATTTATACACTTAGTTCCACGAAAACGGTGTTTTAAGCACTTTGTATGATTATATGGCACCAGACTATTGTAAACTTACCAGTCATTGTGCAGTCATAACCTTGCCAGCCCATCACTATTTTTTGCTTTAAATTTGATTTTAACTTAAAATCTGATACCTTTATTTCTTTTTAATGTTAATATTGCTCTCAGCAAACTCAATCTAGTTTCTATCAATTCAGCATTATTTGCTTTACTCAATGAAACATAAACCCCTTCATATGAAGATAGTTTGCATTTTATTTTTATTCGAGTTTTGTTAATCCCAGTTTAGTGATATCAACTTCCATTCTCCTTTTATAAATTCTATGGTTGTTTTGCATTTACAGACATATCTCTTCAAAAGTTGCAGTTATACATTTTAAGGCTCTCACACATAAGGCACTTAAGGCTAGCAATTCAGACACTCAACCTCGGTTGTAGATTCCTCAGTTTTGCTGCAGTACATTTTATCTTTTATAATATGGCTAAAAACATCCATAGATATTTTATACTACATGGTTAATTTACTCCTTGCTGAATTCGGAAGGTGGTGGCCGAGCATTGTATTAGCCCCTGTCAAACAGACAGTAATTCTTATATAAATGTGGGTTACATACATTTTGTTTATATAATTATATCACCCAAAGTAACTAGCATATGAGCCATGAGTAGTCATCAAGTGGACATGTGACGGTGGATCTCCACTGAACGCTCATACCTTGACTGTAAAGACATCAATTAAATAGCCGGTTTCTTGTCCATATATCTCCCATCTCTCTCCCTTATTAACGTTTACAGCTCATAGCATTAATTATGGTGATATCCTAATTATTGTACATTTGCTTATTTTCTAATAAGTGGAGAAAGACCATTTGGGTTTGAAAATTTAAACCATAAACATTTTTGAATGTTACTTCCAGTGCACCTTCAATACTGACTCTACAGACTCTTTATCAGTGATTACAACAAGTAAACTGAGGGTAACAAGGTCAGTAACCCCGAGGTCAATATCACCAGCAGGTTAGTAACCCCAGGGTTAGTAACATCAGCAGGTCAGTAACCCCAGGGTTACTAACATCAGCAGGTCAGTAACCCCGGGATCAGTAACGTTGGTATATCAGTAACCCTTGGGTCAGCAACACTAAGAGGTCAGTAACCTTTGGGTCAATAACACTATTAGTTCAGTAACTCTGGGGTCAGTAAACGATTAGGTCAGTAACCCCGATGTCAGTAACATTAGTCGGTTAGTAACCCCTGGATTAATAACACTAGTAGGTCAGTAAAAATAGGACATGGGTGACTGTAACTTTCCTCTCCCTCAGCTCCAGCAACGGCTTCGGCGACGAGCTTTGCTGGGCAGCGCTATGGTTGGCTCGAGCCACAGGAGACCCCAGCTACATCTTCAAGGCTCGAGACCACTGGGACGAGTTTAACTTCTTAGAGGGTGAAAGCGACATGTTTTCCTGGGACGACAAGATACCTGGAATCTTTGTAAGTTATTTTTAAAGGAAGAATTCCGGTAATAATGTTGTAATATAATATTCCACATAGAATTAATGCAATTTTTACCTCTAGGTGCCACCATGGTTGAACCCTACACCAAAAAGGTTAAAATTGTTTACACTGATTTACCTGTGTATTTTATAGGTTTTGATATATAGTATTCTACATAACGATTAAATAATGTAAGAGACAATCCAATTACTGGGACATACTCAGAGGTAAATTATATTTACCTCCTTGAAATACTACAAAGAGTAATGACCTATGTTAAAGTTCTTTATGCTCATTAAATGACAACAATCCAGCAGCACATCATTTCATGTTGCTGATATACCTTGTGGCATGCTAGTTTAGTCTTTCACCAAAACCATTTAGGACTGGAAGTTAAAAGCTTATCCACTAAGTTAAACGGCCATATTTATCGTCCCTGATACAGTCACTCTTCTGGATGCTGGACAACTCCAGTGAGTATCCTGACGCCCTCAGGAACTACCTGGACTGGCTAAAGACCACTGCATCATACACCCCGGAGGGTCTAGTTTTCTTGGGTGACAAGGGCTCTAACCGCTATGCTGCCAACGCCGCCTTCATCTCTCTCTTTGTTAGTTCCTTCTATAAGAAATATTTAAAATCTTGTAATCCTTCAGACAAAATACGAGCGATGAAATAGTGCATATCCATCTACACATTTGAGGGATAATATGAGAGAAAATATCGTGAAACAATTCCGAGTTGATCTGTATAAAGATGATACAATTCACTAGTTTTGATTTTGTTTCTCTAAATGTCGTCAGGCAAAAATATTTCATATAAATGTTACGAGTGATTACTACCAAAATTTATCGTATTGCATGTAATAATATATCTTGGATCTTTCAGGCCGCCAAGAATGGTATGGACACTGAAGCTAACCAGAAGTGGGCAAGGGAACAGATGGGTCAACTATTAGGCGACAACTCCCGTTACAGCAGATCCTTCGTGGTGGGCTACGGCCAGAACCCCCCTCAGAGGCCCCATCATCGTTCTAGGTACACACACACACACACACACACACACACACACTCTACTTCTACTTCTACTACTACTTTTTTTGTCTAATGTGGCCTCCAGCCTCCCCCAATAGCCATACCTTCGTCGCCATTTAATTACCTTAATATTAAATATCCTAATACATAAGTAGCTATCCTAGCTGGGTTGAGTTAGTTGAGCGGCAGATCTATGCGGCATTCAGTGACTGTTGCCTCATAGTCAATACCTGCAACTGCTGTCGGCTTTGGGGCCCTTGAGGCAGAGCAAAGCAGAACTCAGGAGAGAGAAGGACAGTTGACATAACTTCTGGGCTGCTGCTTCTGTTCGGATAGCACCTCCGCGAGTCTGGCATAGAAACATCTTGCACTTGGTCCCATCCCACCAGAGGTTGTGAACACTAGAGGAGTGAAGCTGCCCTGATCAAGGTTTTGAATTTTCTCCCCATATGCCCTTTTCTTGTCGTTCCCGTTCCTCCTGTGTGCAGCATCAAGAGCTAAACTACGGTGACATGCGGCCATGGGATAAAAAATCCTGATGTCGAAGAAGGCTCGCTGTCTGCGCGTCAAGAATCCTCGAGCAATGACGTCAACACGGGATAATTGGATGTATTTGAAGTCCTATGTTGGAAATTCTCACCGTCCAGTGGAAGGAAGGTCGGTTCTACCCTGACATCACGACTGATTTCCTTCAACATATTTGCTGTGAAATCCCTTACTTCGCCATGACTCATGCATATGAAGCCCCCTTTTTTGAACACCATGGAGTGATCGACGTCATAGGAAGAGCCACATAGGCATTGGGAAGGTTAACCTTCTACTGACCTACCGTACCTTAGAGCAATGGCATCTGTAAATTCTTGTTTATTGAGACTGAAACCATTTGCCCTTATCGGTAACATAGTTAACCAGTTTAAGGCGCTCGCGTAATGCGCTGTAGCTACTTTTGTTTTTTTAATTCTCTGGTACTTGCAGCATCAGTTGCTGAAACTTATCACTTTAACCGTGCTGTCGTTCTGTCGTAATGGAACGTCGAATCTTGTTTACTTCGCTGCGTTCTGAGCTATTATGTGGTCAGTGAGGGCTGCCGCGAGGCACTGCAAGGAGTGATCTTTCTGCTGGGGTTAAGTAAAGAGGTTTCACTAATTTGGGAAATAAATTGACGCTGATAGCTTCTTCCAGAAGGTGGAGGAGGGGTACGATATCAGGGATAGTGCGCATCAGGTAGTTCCAGTGATGCTTGACTCCGTGGGTGAATGCAGCAAAAGCCGCATGTGGTTCTGTGTTAGCAATATCTAACAGAGATTGGATTTCCCTGACCCACTCATTCACCTTTCCCGTTACAAGCACAGTCTTGAAGTCCGTCGTGCCGTTTACTGCACAAGGTGTGTTTGGCCATCCTTTGTTATTTTGATCTCACTTCCACCGAACACCTCCATTGCCCGTTCATAATGTTCTGGCTTCACAATGAGGAAAGACTTGCTAGCATTTGTGTGGTACCCTATGGTATTTGTGAACCATATGATGTTATCATGTCCCACCACTTTTTGATGTCCTCCACTTTTCCTGCTACTGTGAGGCCTATTGTTTACATTGCCATTGCAACAGGGTCCCCCTGCATTGGTTGTATGATGGTATCACCTCTTAGAGCCTTGATGTTTACTATATAGAGGTCTGATGGATTCCTATAGGTGCTTTCAACATACACTGCAAAGATTGGACACTTGATCTTGATGTTGTGCAGAGTGGCCTTGCAGTTAAGCATGTTGAATGTGTTGGAAGCGCCAACCAGGGGAACTGACTCACAATCACGCTGCTCAAATATCGTTGCCATGGCGTGAATGGCAGCTTCCCCTTCAGCCTGGTGGCCAGCACAAACTTGCAGGTTCCCTGCCCTGACATCATTCTTTATCACCTCCATTATGCATTTTCCGATGATCTGCCTCAGCACTTCCCCCACCCCTCTATGCCTACATTCTGGATTCCTATCCAGGGGAATGAGGCGGCAGGCCGTCAGAGCATGGAGGTGGTGGCAGCTCGAGGTTGCTAGCTTTCTTGCAAGGGCGGCAATAGCAGTGTAGATATCACTTGCTACGGGGCCAAACTTGTTAGTACTGAGCATGACTCTTCAACCGTTTCATGCAGACCTAAAGGGCCAACCCCTCCCTGAGTTTTCAGTGTTTTTTTCACACCATCCCTCCTGTTATTTTCTCGAACAGGACAGCATTTGGTGGGATATATTCACCCTGGGACCTGATGCCTCCATTTTTACTTGCCGGGGGATGTTTTTCCTTCAGTTGTTTTAATGTCTCTCTGTTTATTGACAGAACGCCACTGGAGGATTCCTCTGTGAGAGATCTTACCGCCAAAGACACTTTCTCCACGCGCATTTTGTTCCAAACTTTCTTGCAACGTCATCGATGTTTTGCTTTCCGCCTCCTATAAATTTTTGTCTCTCCTGCAGTGTTCTTGCTGCCACATTTTCTTTGTGCTTAGTTCTTGCGTGTGTCCTCTGACATAATAGATGGGGCATTATTGCCAGTATTTAAAGGGGCATGGAAGTAGTACTGAGTGTACTCGGTTATGAGGCGAGTCATCACCCGAATCATTTCTTCGGTGGCCGCGCACTTGGGTGGTTCAAACAGGTTAGCTGGCGACCACCTGACAATTTCTGAGTAAGTTTCTTTAACCCATATGCCCGCATTTTCCATCGACATGCCATTCCACTGTAGTGGCTGTCTGTCATTCACCTCGTGGACATCTGCTACTATTGGAGCAGCGTTTATTGGTACTACATTTTCAAGATGAGTAGACTCACTGCTATCATTTAGAATATTGTCGGGCGGTTATGTCTGGGCGATATTCCCTGTGGCCTCTTGTTTCGGATCCCTGCCGTGTGGATTTCTGCAATTTTGTCCCTTTCTGCAAACCACACTACTACTCCTACTTTGCTGTCGCTAGGAATCGAATTTGATGATAATCCAACTATGATAAAATATGAGTTATTAAAGAGGTCACCCTCATTGGTGAGCTTTGAGGTAACTTGAGAGGCAGGTACGGGGGCAGTCCACAGATGTTGCACGTGTGAAGAGCTACATCTAGTGTAGGAGAGGCCGCGGCAGTATCTTTCCGGCACTGGCGATTGTCTGCTTCGTTATTCAGTCGGGCTTACTCGAAAGTATTGACGCTCCTCCAAGCATTACGGCGTGGAGTTATCGTCTCCAAGGTGAGGGGCGTTGCTTTGGCACTTTTCAGGTTGTCTTAATACTATCTCTTCCGTTTCCCGCCAGCGTTACGTTTACCATTCGTTAGGTGATAGTATAAAGTAGGTGCTTTAGCAGTCTACTGGCGTTTATTTGAGCAACATGGCCAGTCCAACGTAGCTGTTCATTGATAAATGTAGCCTCGATGCTCCTACAGTTGGTGTTTGTCCTTCCCAACGAACCTGGAGGACAGAACGTAGCCTACGTTGGTGAAAGTTTTCAAGTGCCTTGAAGTGCCTCCTGTATGCGACTTATGTCTCGTTGCCATATAGCGGGGTGAGGTGGGACCACTGATCGATATATTGTACATGCAATTTCAGCTCCTTACGGCTGAAGACATGGGTACGGAGTTTGCCAAAGGCTTGAGATGCACATTTGATTCGATGCTGAATATCTTCACCGATGTCCGTGGTGGTGGACAGGTGGGAGCTAAGGTACTGAAAATGGATAACATTAGAGAGGGTAGTAACGTTAACCTGGATGAATGGTGGAGGTATGGTTGAGCCAGTGGCAGGCCGAAAGAGAATCTGAGTGTTACGTACATTCACCGCAAGTCCGAAGTGTGCGTATGCATCTGAGTAGGTGTTCAGGATAACCTGTAGGTCGCGTTCAGTGTGAGCGACTTGAGTGAGGTTGTCTGCATATTGAAGTTCAGTGATGGAGGTGGCTGACACCTTTGTTCCTACCTAGAGTCGTCGTATGAAAAGTTCCTTCATCTGGTACTGGATATCCACCCCGCCGGCTAAATTGGCACTGGCAAGAATAAAGAGGGCAGGCAAAAAAGTGGAAAGGAGAGACGGTGCCAGTACACATCCTTGTCTTATCCCTGTTTAGATGTGAAAGAATTCTGACTGGGTGCCATTGTGCAGGATACTGCCTTTAATCGCCCCACAAAGGCGATTAATTTTGGTGGCTTCCCTGTTGCCTGAGTCGAAGGCCTTGGTGAGATTGACATAGGCCATGTACAAGTCACGACGCTGTTCTCTGTGGGCAACAAAGATCATGTCAGTGATGCCACGTGATGGCCCAAAGCCACCTTGAGATTCTGGAAGGAAGTTTATTTTGGAGGACTCGGGTGATAATCTTTTCAGTGGTAATTACCACCGTCTAAACTCTAACCGGTATCCCTTGTTCTTATAAATATTGACGATGAACGCGTTTTTTAAATCTTTGGGGATATCCTTCTTCTCCTATTTATTTTCCAGGAGAGAGTGGAGATGGGTGGTAAGTAGAGGTCCTCCTGCTTTATACTCTTTGGTGAGGAATCCGTCAGACACTGTTGCTTTGTTATATTTCATCTGATTGATGGCAGTAGCTACCTCATTCCAGGATGGTGGATATCTGAAACAGGTCAACTCTGGGTGCTCGAGGGGCCTGCTGGGTAGTCAGGACATCTACATCGGTCTTGCAATAGTCTCTTCACAGCGCTGACGGATGTCTTCTTCTTCTTTAATTAGGGAGTTAACCTCGGATGAGCGGAAGTGGGCAGCGAAATGAGTCGTTGGGCAATTCATTGTTTCAGTTGAATTAAAGATTCACGAATCTTGTGTTGATTCGAAAATTAAAATTTTTGCGTTTCTCTTTCACACACACACACACACACACTCCACCATAACTAACTTCTTATGCAATATGTAGATCATTTCTGCTAAGATTTTTAGTTGATAGATAATATATCTTTAGGGGCTTTAGGGAGTTTAGTAATATGAACTTAATAGTTAAAATACAGGGTATTCTAAACACCTTTCACGAGAGCTGCGAGTCGCACGGAGGTTCCTCATGTATTCCTTCTTCTCCAGTTCCTGCCCGAACCCTCCAGCGGACTGTTCAGGAGCTCTTGACAACTCCGGCCCCAACCCCCATGTCCTTTTTGGAGCCCTTGCCGCTGGACCCGCTGAGGTTGGTACTAGCAGGTCACATAAATATGGTCAAACTGAACTAACAAATAAGACATGTCTACGAGCATCTCAGCAAGAGAAGTATTTGTGAATTATTTAATTTTCTTTTTTATCTTCTTGCTGATTAACTCAACATGGTCGGGTCTCCCTATACATATCATTTTTCTTATGAATTAAGTTTTGTTTCTTCCTACCCAGAACGGTGACTACACAGACGACCGCAAGGATATAACTCACAATGGTGTGTCCTGCACCTACAACGCTGCCTTCACCGGGGCTCTCGCCGCCCTCGTTGAGATTAGTTAAAGGTCCCGATGTGTCCCTGAACATCTCTTCGGGAACTGCTTATACAGTTGAATTTTTTGCCAATCTTCCGTTTACTACGTTTTTCCTAATCGGATTAACACATTGGCTACACTCTTGGTGGAGCAGTAATAAAAATTGCAGAAATGTTGTCATCTTATATTCTTCACCTTTGTGTCCTCCACAGCCCACTGTACAACTGTCATTTGGTCTGTCTTTGAAAGTTTGTATAACTGACCGATATCAAACATATTCGATCACAAACTAAACTTACTCTTGTACGTTATTAAAACTGTTGGATTACTGTTATGGAAATAGTTATTGAGATGTGAACTGAGAGACCTGTTGTGAGTGACTCGAAGTCTATTTTTCGTAAGCCTTAACCAAGGTACTAAACAAGAATATTCCTGGCAAGGTGGTCACCAATATTTAGTGTGTCATCGTGACAAATGTAATATCTAGTGATTTCATAAGTCTATAAATACATCTGAATGGAGTAGTATTATTGGTCAGTGTTCCTAGTTTGGATAATGCAGTAACATAATAAGCTAAATCATCTTTTATCGATATCAAACTTTTTAATAACTGCTGAAAGTGTTAGCGTATTGACTAAATAACAAGGTTGGTTATTTTCCTTTTTGTACGATATCGATGAATTCATCTAATATATATAGCAGGTGACAATCCGCTGAAAAAGAGTGTTCATTGATATAGTAATGAAAAGATGAAGTTGATGTAGATGGTTTGAGAAGGAAGGGTAAATTATCAATACAGGTAAATATTGAAACTATAATAGAAGTACATTTTACAGGGGTGACACAGATAACTACAAGAAAGATTACGACAGGTAAGACTAAATTACTATAGTATTTACACGTTAACGTGGCCTGTAAGCCGCGCCCCTCGCCTATAAAAATAGCTGATTGGTTCAAAGAAAATGTTCGTGTAGATGTCCATTTATTCAAACTAAATAAGTTCACAATTGGTAAATAGACCTGTTTTTCTCTAAAATGATGTTAAATATCTGTAATATCAAAATGCAAATGATTTCAAGGCATTAGCACTTCAGAGAGGATATTATAAATTTTTAATGTTTATCATAAATGGTCGAAATCAGAGATGAAATTCGCTTTCGAATGAAATCTTGTCATCATTTCTTTGTTTTGTACTAAACATAAAGCAAACAAAAACAAATGATACCAAACATATAGCACAATAGGTAATAAAATACATTTTATACAGTTGGATATATCGTAAATCATTTATCTAATATACTATAGGACTAGGCGTGTCTGTGTGTGTGTGTGTGTGTTGTTGGCAGCCGAAACGGCACAATCGTTTTTCATCAAACTAGGTGAAAAAATCGCAAAAAAATCGCGAAATGGAACAAACCTGGTCCCATGTCGATGGTTTCTTTAGGAAGCCATTAATTAGCCATTTTATTTACGCTAGAAAACGATGCAAGTCTAGGGATTTGGCGCAACCTCATTCGCTGTACGCTGTCAGCCTACGATTGCAGTTATTGTACGGCTCCCTCCTCCTCCCCCCACTTTTTTCTTTGCCTACTTTTTTTTTAAATGTTGTTTGGATTAGTAAAGGAAGGAAGATGAGTAAATAGAAGAATAAATAAGGGGAAACAAAAAATAGTTAGAGATAACAGGTGGGGGGGGAGCTGAGTTTCATCATGCGTCTGGATGCGCAGTTTCAACGTTTACCTGAGCATTTTCGGACCTTCGAGGCTACAATTTTTTCAATTTCAATTGTTTATTCCTTGATAGAGGAAGCGGGATCCTAGTGCTGTCACCAGGTACCCCTGTACAGTGTATACTTATTCCTGTGGCTGACTGTACATGGAAAAGGAGAAGAGATAAAAAGATAATAACAGGAATGCATGGAGAAGATAGAAAGGGAGAAGAGAAGGTGAAGAAACATTCTTCTCCTTAAAAGGCGAGCGAGGAAAGGAGATGGGAGAGAGGGATAGTGAGAGGTGGAGGTATGAAAGGAGGGATGTGTTTTTTAAAGTTCCCAGAATACCATATTAAAATCACCTATTTAATAAGGAAGAAAAAGTGCTAAATATGATGAGTAGTGTAATGGAGAGACAGAGATATATAAATAAAGATAGAGATAGTACGGATAAAAATGGAGAGAGAGAGAGAAGCGGACAAACAAAAGACATAATACAGACAGATTCAAGGACACACAGAAAGACAGACAGATAGACAGATTTATGAAAGACAAAGACAACAGACACATACATACATACAGACAGACATGACTACACAGGGTGAAACTAGACAGTGAAACAGACAGGAGGTTGACAAAATTTTTTAAATATTTATCATAAAAGGTCGTTGAATAAACTGAGGTTTTATATATAGATTGGTGAACGGCAGTAGAACAAGTAATGAGATCCCTGTTGACGTATGATAAAAGTGCTCAACTTAAGTAAACAAATCATAGTGTTATTAACAGCAAAACTTTTGTCGCACCTTCCTTATTTCTTAATTCGAGCGACTGTAACTACTTTACCCAACTAAGGCCTTTCAGCTTGTCATAAAGTTAATAAATACACTAACCCATCAATAATTAAAAATTATTAGATAAAACTCTCTATATGATTTCACCTCGAAATGTTTGTAGCTTTGTTACGCTGTGTGCAAGAAACTGGATTTTTAATAGTTGCTTTGAAAACCTATAAATTTCTCAAATCTATGGGAAAATGATTTTCCGTCATTCTAAACTGACCTTTAAGATGATTCACCTATGAATATTAGCTTCAAAGTTGTCCCAGAATGAAGACCAACTGGCTACTTAGACAGCTAAAGTTAGTGCAGTATTAACTTTACTTTTTCCATGCTAACCTGGCCCATAAGCCACGCCACTCCTCTATGGCACCATATAGCTGATTGGTAATAGAAAATGTTTGTGTAACTCTACATTTATTCAAACTAAATATGTTCACAATTAGAAAGCAGACCGGTTATTTTCTAAAATAATAATAAATATCTGGACTATCAAAATACAAATAATTTCATGGCATTAGCACATCAGAGAGGATGTTGAAAAATTTAAATATTTATCATAAAAAAGTCGAAGTCAAAGATGAATTTCGCTTTCGAATGAAGTCTTTTCATTATTTCTTTGTTTTGTACCAAACATAAAAGAGAAACAAATCTTACAAGACATACAGCACAATAGGTAATGAAATACAGTTGGTACAGTTGGATATATTCCAAATAATTTATATATATACGCGCAGCCCTGAAGGGGGGTAAAACGCTCAGGAGAACAGCCACATCGATGGGGTGATCAGATGATAGTGATAAATCAGCTGGATGTTTAACTCTCCCTGCCAGTACGTTAGAGGTCGTATTAGAATACTATGACGCAAATTAACTAAACCTCGTCCATCATTGGCCGAGATTTTCGTTCATTTGCACCAAATTTCTTGATATTTGATACTTCGTAGCATATATTATTACTTAAATCTTGTCACAACGCAGCATTTAAGATGGGGAGATACCAGGTTAGTGGATAAAGTGTTTAATAATCTGCTCGTGGGTGGAGAAATGTTTTTGTTGGTTAAGTACCGCAGCGATGATATCTGTTGGCAGTTGAGAGTTGACCGTGTTCAACGCGTTGGGAAACCCAACTCCTTCTACAACCCGCGACATCATAACAAAGTTTTCTTCCTCCTCTGACCGTGACAAAGTATTTTACCAGCTCAGAAAGCTAAAGGGCACTACTGTCTTCGTCAACTAGGACTAAAGCCCGCCAACAGCAAATGAGCAAGTTTAAAGAAGCAGGAAACAAGGGAAACACGTGACGTTCAGACATGAGACCCATACTGTGATGGATCTCAGGAAAGTGGACACCCCCAACTCACCCACCAGCTGTACCAGCCCCCCCCCCCTCCAACGCCCACAAGAACTTCCTCCCCTTAGATAGGAAACCAGCCTGCCCGCATCCTGTCTATCAACTGTGGAGTTTCTCCTCCTGCCGGCCAACTCGGGTACTACACGTCCACACTCTGCGGTGGGAATCAGCAACCCTCATAACCAAGAGACAGGCGCACCTCCCACACAAACTGAGAACCATCCTCAACAGCACCAGTCATCTTAATTCTGTTGGTTGTAGCACTTGTGAGTAAGTTAACCCCCCACTTATATAACTTTCTATGACCATCCCATTTCACACCACAGTGACCCTGAGTTTTTTTCTGTTACTTAATCAGTACAAATATTCTTACACTGATGGTGCTAGTCATTCCCTTAGATGTACTGAACCGTACGTGTTACATCCCCTTCAATCATATTGACCCTGATGTCTTTCTACAAAACTCACTGGGTTAGACCAACCCATTTGTAACTATTACTTTCCTGACTCTCCTGAGTTTAGTTCCAGCCTCATGCTGTCTCATTCCTTCTCCTTAATTAGCCATAACATCATCAGTATTCCCCTTCACTTAGATACTTTTTTAGATCAATGTATATCTTCTATTACCCACAAATTTGTTGTACTTGGGTTCTGTGAGACCAAACTCACTTACGATATTGGACTTCTGTATAACATACTTAATTATACTAGATACTGCATCAATACGTCACGACACAGTGGCGGTGTCGCCCTGTATGTTGATATTCAGTATAACGCTTCTGTAAGAGATGATTTAAAGGTTCAAGAAGAGTTTATGGCGAGTGTTTTCAATGAATTACGTAACGACACACGAAATATCGTTGGATGAATAATTTACAGAAGACCCCAGACTAATGTAAAGAACTTTTTTGATGAATTATCGGAGCTTATCTCTATCATAAGCTCAGAGAGGAAACTTTGCTACATTACAGGAGATTTCATCCTTGATCTACTAAAATCGGAGACGGACAGCTCAGTAATAGACCTTCTTGCTACCTGTCATTCTGAGCTCTTCTTTAACACAATAATGAAACCCACCAGAGTAACTGCCACCTTTGCCACTGTGATAGATCATATCTGGACTAAAAACACTCCTAATAATCTTGCAAGTGGAATTATTTATAACAATATCTCAGATCACTTCCCAATTTTTGCCATAAAACTTCCTTGAGAGAAATGTACAGTAAATATCAGGTACCTTCAAGAGAGCACAGACCCTCACTTGGGTCAGCC